AGAAGGAAAGAAGGAAAGAAGGAAAGAAGCACAGAAGGAAAGAAGGAAAGAAGGAAAGAATGACATAAGGAAAGAAGGAAAGAAGAAGAATAAGGAAAGAAGAAGAAGAAGGAAAGAAGAAGAAGAAGAAGGGAAGAAGAATAACACAAATAATAAGAATAATAATCAATAAGAAGGAATAATAAGAAGGAATAATAAGGAAGAATAAGGAAGAAGAATAAGGAAGAATAAAAACAAGAAAGAATAAGAACGAAGAATAAAGCGGAATAATAAGAAGCATAAGAAGAATAATAGTAATAAGAAAGACAAATTGAACGAATAAGAAGAAGAAAGAAGACGAAAGAAGAATAGAGAACACGAAAAAATATAGCTGAAGAAGAAGAAGAAGAAGAAGAAGACGACGACGACGACGACGACGAAGACGAAGACGAAGACGAGGAGCAGGAGGAGAAGAAGAAGAAGAACAACAGAACAATAAGAAAGGAAGAAGAAGAAACATACTAAGAAAAACAATAAAAGGAATAATGAAGAAGGAAGAAAGAAGAAGGAAGAAGTGGAAGAAGGAAGAAGGAGGAAGGAGGAAGGAGGAAGGAGGAAGGACGAAGGAAGAAGGAAGAAGGAAGAAGGAAGAAGGAGGAAGGAGGAAGGAAGAGGAAGAGAAACCTTTCGGGGGATGGCATCTTCATGATCTTTGATCTTTGACACAAAGATCCGGATGTTAAACACAGTGTGACACATTCTGAAAGGCCGGTGAGACTGGACCCCGCCAGCATTCCTGTTGTTCGTGACCCACGTCGCCAGGGAACATGTGGTCCCACCTCCTGGGCATCGTCTACTGCGTTTCTCAGCGGATTGGAGTCGTCCATGGGATGCACGGTCCGGACCGTGCACGGTGTGGATTCTTCGTTTCCTCCCATGCGTTTCTGGACCCCTCCGGTCGTGTGGAAATCGAAGAAGGGGTCAAGAAGACACTCTCGGCCGTGTTGAGAGGCTTGAGTCTTGACTATAGGCTATAGGGGTGGGGGAAGATCTTGAGTGCCTTGGAACATGCTGGACTTGCTTTGAGTCCGTTGTGGCAGCCAAGCGGTGCTACGAGGCTTATGTGGGAGCTACTGCCGTTTGCCAGCAGCAGGCGGGACTGGTGAAGGACTGGTGAAGGAGAAAAGAGGAGTGAAGGTACAACCTGCCTTTTCCAGGAAGGAATTGATCGGACTCTCAGCCTTTTTGTCTATGACATGGTGGGTCTCTCAATGCTGCCATACCACTGACATGCTACAAATTGGGAGGTCAAACTCTACACAAAACCAGTGTAAGCATTGGTCAGCACTGAGGGAAGCAATATGGAGAGTGATGACTCTCTCTGGGGTGATGCGTCCGGACCGTGTGTGCCTTGTCGTCAGAGTGATTCCTTGCCTCCAAGCATCAGGAGAAGATGTTTCTGTCGGCAAAAACTCGCAGCCCCTTTTTTGAGTCAGACCTAATAAAGATCAACCCATTTGCATGGAAAGAGTCTTTGGGACTAACAGAGCAGCACCTATGGCCAGTCCCAGGTCATGTGAAATTCCGTATGAGGCTGACAATATAATCTATCCAAGTCCAGCACCAAGTTTCGCAACAAGCACCTTTTCACCAGCTCGATCAAACCCTCAACATCCTTCTGGTGGCCGCATGCTGGCGATCTATGCGCAGACATGTGTGGATGTAGCTAATTCATGCTAACTCTAACCACCTCGCAGCACTCATCCCAGCTGCCAACTCGTCAGCTCCGCGATCCGGTTTTCCCATCCAAACACCTTCCACACGCACGCGCACACAGCCACACACACACACAGAGACCCCCTGCGTGTTCCGGCAGCTTCCGCTTCGCTCGGCGCGTGGCGTGGCCGAGCCGATTCCGCTTCGCTGGGAACGATGGCATCGCTTTGGAGGCTGGTGAAACAGCGAGAAACGACGCGACGGGTGAAGTGTTGGAGGTGGGTTGTGGTGGACTCAGTGGAACAGTTTGGGGTAGAAACACGGTTGCAAGGAATGGGGTTTGTCGTTTTTCTATTTTTTTCCCAGGCAGTTGTGTTTCTTTTCTGGACTTCTGAGCTGCAGAAGGTGTAAAGAGTCAAACTTTCAGTCGTCACGAACTGCTGGGTGAGTGGACGTTTTGCCATTTGTTTGTTTGTATTTTATATAATTGTGTTTATTTGTTTGTTTGTTTGTGCACTTGCATGTTTTAAAACGTTTCAAAACACCGTGGATCTCCCCCACTCAGGACGGTGCTTCATGGGAAGGTGCTGAATATTGTTCTTCCTTCTGGGCTGATCCTTGCGGCAGTGCTCCTGCTGACATACTGCCATGCCACTGCGACACTTGGCGGAAAGACAATGGCCCCAAATGATGTGCTGCTTTGGAGGCCTTGTGATGGCTTTGCAATCCTTCCTGGTTTGGGCATTTACAGCCAGCTCTTTGTTTCTGCTGGATTGGTCACCTGAGCCGGTCCATCTCCCAGGCAGGAAGGCAACGATAACTCCTCGAAGGTCTTTTTGGGCCTCATCGTGCCTTGGGCAAAGGAGCGTGCCTTGAACAATCAACATGCAACTGGTGAAAAGAACCCTGAGGAACTGAGGGGAAGAGGAGTCTGTAAGCTACATAGAGACATAGACAGAGAGAGAGAGAGAGAGAAGAGCTGTTTTTGGTTGCAGGTTGCATGTGAAGTGTTGAGCGTCTGGTACTCCATGAGCGATGGTACGCAGAGTAAACGCCTGCAACACCCCAGATACCCTTACTTTGTGGCAGCCTAGGGGTTTGTAAATCTGTAATTGGCTTGAAAACAAAAAGGATGTGGTCCAACAGCCGTTTCATTGCACGAAGATGGGGCCAAACGACGAGAAGATGGGGCTTTGTGTGGGGCGGGGTTCTCCGTGGCCAGCATCAGAGACTGTGAGAGGCTCCGTGTGAAGCAGAGCGGTCGAAGCATTCTATAGTGACGGACAATCACTTAGAACAAATCGGTGAAACATAAACAAGAAAATGGAGCTGCAGAACCTTAGACTTAGAACATGCAAAAACCTGACACTTAGAACATGATAAACCCATCACTTAGAACAAACAGAGCTCATCTTTTATAAATTTATCTGAATTTGTGCTAAGTGCTTGTCCGTCACTATTCAAGGTTGGGGAAACATTTGACGCGATTGGGTTGAAATGCTGTAGGGTCGCTACGAGGAGCAAGGATGCTACTAGGGGCTCCCGGCCTTACTACTAGGAACAAGGTTCGCTACGCGCAAGGACGCTACTAGGGGCTCCTGGCCTTACTACTAGGAACAAGAAGCTACTAGTAACAAAGGGCATCGCCACTAGATAGGAGCAAGGATGCTACTAGGGGCTCCTGGCCTTACTACTAGGAACAAGGTTCGCTACTAGTAACAAAGGGCTTGTACTGTATATGTTCTAAGTGCAGGATTTCAATTGTTCCAAGAGCAAGGCTTAGAACGCGTTTTTTTTGTTCTATGTGTTGGGTCCTCGGCATGTTCTATGTGACTCCTTTTTTGGTGAAAAATATCTATGTTCTAAGTGGTTGTCCGCCACTATAATCCTCAAGACTTAGGTCTATGAGTCTATGAGATCCCCTGCAAAATCCCCTGGCCCAATTTGGGAGATCCCCTGGCCCAATTTCCCTTCATTTGCATGGCCTGTGTCTACAGACCGGATCTCAGCCAGATGGACGAGGTCCCGGAGCTGCGTTCGGTCAAACCCACGGCCGCCTGCGTTTCTGGAGCCGGTTTTGGGGCGAACATGGAGAGAGTAGGGCGTCTCGCCCAGGTGATTCAGATGCTGCCGTTGCTCTTCCTGGAGTTGCGACTCACGCCACTGGACTTGTGCATGGAGGGGCGACTCACTGTAGGTCCTAACCTCAAAGTACCAGAACATATGAGCCTATGTAGCTGAGGACCGAGAATCCTTTTCCAAACCCAGCCTATGTGTCCTGTGGCCTGGTCGAGGGGCTGAAATTGGATGCGAGGTCAGGCGCTTTTCACCAACCCATGTAGACAGCTCCCTTTGGCTGGAATGGGCGCACTTGCAGGCCTCCTTTTGAAGGCGTTTTGAGGTGGATCCAGCTACTTCAAAGACCTCACGGATGCAGAATTCCCACCACCTGTGTGTTTTTTCATGTTCTTTTACACTAGCTAAGTTGGGCATTTGCTTCATGCCTTACCAGGAGGAGGTCCCTTCGGGCCCCTGAGGGACTGCAAGATGTGTGACTGATCAGCTGATCACACTGATCAACCACGACCTACATCACTATGGCTCAAGCATAGGGTGCACCTGAAATCTCCGGGCTTCGTTGGGACGATGACTGACTGACTATGAGCCACATTTTTGCTGGACCTGACTCGTAGCTGTCATGGCGCAGAAGCGCCCCCCCAGGCCGTCACGCTTGCGATGCCCGTGTCCGTCCGCTTCCCGGTCCACGGTTCACCGGCTCAGGTCGTGCCCCGACCCGGAAGCCATGTTGGCGCTCTTCGGGACCAAGGTGAGGTCCGCTTCGGCGGTGGCCACCGCGGTCGGGGGGGTTCTGACCCGCTTCCGTTGTCTGGAAAGAAAAAGGAACTGCTCAGTGCTTGTATGATGTAAGGTGATCTATGTACTCTTTAAAATCCTTGCTTCCAGAAAAAAAGACCCAACAAAACTGAACCATTTTGGAAGAAGAGTAGGTGATAACTTTGTAAATCCCAGCCGAGTTACAAGTTTGATTATTTTGAAAAGAAGACCACGGTTTCCGGCCCCCAACAGGGCCTGCTTTTTTTTTGTGACGCGCGTCTCAGGGTGTCACACTCTGCACAAAGCACGGCGTTTTGGGCGAAGCTGTTTGAACGTACCCTCAATTACACCTGGATCTTCCAACTGTGCAAGGATTATTACTTTCATACATAAAACCAGACAAAAGGCAAAAACCAGTTCTGCATCGTTGGAAGATGCAGGTATATGATAATGTATATATATATATATATATATGTCTCGTCAGGTGCTGCTTCTTCATGGATGCTTCTTGATCCTGCGAGTGTGTGCCTCCTGGCTACAGGGACGTGATGACTGGGGAAAACCTGGGTGGGATTTGGGTGAGGTTTGTGTGAGTCCAGCAACCAGAAGAAGCCTCAAATGATTCGATTGTGCTCCTTGACCCTTTCAGTGTTGAGGTGAACTCCCTGAGCGACTGTTCTTGTTCTGGAGTCTGCACGCGCTTCAAAAATCCGAACGTTTCTTTTTTAAGGCCTGGCCCTTGATGGAAGTGGGCATTGGCTGGTCAAACCTGGCAGGAGCACTGGCAGTCCTGGCTGTGCTGCTTGGTCTTGGAGCTTTCTCTCGGGGGCACCAGAGGGTGGAGGTGACTTCGAGGGCAGCGAGCGGATTCTGGCGATGCTGAAGGAACCGTTCTTGGCCCGGAGGAGCAGATATATCTTTGGAGAAAGCAAGTTTCAAGCTACCTACCCTTGATGTGAACTTCTTTATCTTCTTTTGGCAGGTTGAACTCACCCACGATATCGTATCTCAAAAACAACTTTTGATTTGGTCTTCTATGCCTGTCAGGCAGAACGCCAGCAGAATGCCTGACAAATGCAGGGATTCCCTGATGTACGTGAAAGGGTCGATTCAGCACGTTGTGCAGGGATTGAACCTTTCTAGGTTTTGCTATTCTATCAGAAGCTTGATGCAACCAGTGTTGAACTGAGAGAGAGTTCTTAGGTTCTGTTTTCTTTTGCGCTTCCCTGCGGAACCAGTTTAGACTCGCCATCTCCACGATGCCTGAGGTTGCATGGGGGCTTCCGCTTCAAATGGAAGCTCGAATCCTTCACGGAGCGCGGTGGTGGTTCATGGTGCGCGTAGCAGTTCAGGTCCCCCTATCTTAGGCTTCTCGACCGACTCCAGCGCTCGCAGCGGCCGTTGTTTTCGGGCCGTTGTTTGGCCCATCATCCCATCCCTCTGTTGGGCTGATCATCCCATCTCCAGGAGCACTGGGATGTGCTTTGCCTTATCTTGCTGGCAGCGTTTGGTGCCGTGGTGACGGAAGTCATCGACTACGAACCGCCCCTCTATCTGAAGCGCAGAAGTCGGGGGGATCGGAGCCTTTTTGCGGTACATGCA